GTGTGTGTGATGTATATTGTATATGTATGTATTTATGTATATATACATATATATATATTCATACGAGTATTGTCTTCCCATAATATTATGTGTCTAGTGTCTGTGTTTGTGTGTCTGGATGTCTACGTGTGTACGTGTGTTTATATGATGCGTATATTCACTTCCACATACATGTACAATAGTATTTGCATGTTTTGTAAATTTATGTTAGTCTTGATATATTGAGTGACAATGGATGACTTCCCCCCCTTTTCTACTTTATCTTCACCTTTAGCTTGCATCGACATTGTTTGTCCTTAAGCATACATCGACATTGTTTGTCCTCAAGCATGCATCGGCATTGTTTGTTTCTGGTTTGAAACTGGCTCAGTTTGACGATCATTATATAGAAACTCGTGCACACATCAGCACAGGAGCGAAATTTGCAAACCTGTTCTCACGCGTGTCGAAGTAGAGGGTGTACAGCTATACATGGCCAGACATATACTTAAGCCAGCCAAAAATACCGCACAGGTCACAACCTGACTGTGTAGGGTCGGCCGATGTGGTTGCTTTAGACCCGCCGGTCTATTATACCGTGTGTGTTCAGACCACCATTTCACTTTAACCGGTGATCTGTTGCACTTCTGCGTTTTAAAAGTATTCGTTTTGGGCACGGCATCGAATTTTTTTTCCAATATATATTTCAAACGCAGGCCTTGCTCGGTCAAAGAGCAGGGCTATTAACATGCACCGGCGTTATATACAATCTACCAGCGCCTAGGTTGCCGATTTCAGACTTTCGCCATGTCGTATATATGAATAGCTCTCATCTACATCTACTGTGCACGGCCACCGGAAGGCAATACTGTCACTGATTCACAATCAATACGCGTTGACAACTCCCGTCCCAGATTACTACCGACGGGTGAAGCCTTATCTGGACGAGACCAAGAAGGTTGCCTCGTTCTGCAGAGCTGTGCTGTCGTACTTTTATATGGACAACACAGAAGTGCATCAGAAAGATGTGTGGGTGAATCTGAAGCAAATCATCGATGTTGGCGAGGAGGTAGATGCTCTTTGTTCGTGTATGTTATTCACTCTCATCAGCTGAGGAGATAGATGCTCTTTGTTCGCGTATGTAATTCACTCTCATCAGATGAGGAGGCAGATGCACTTTGTTCGTGCATGTTGTTCACTCTCATCAGCTGAGGAGGTAGATGCTCTTTGTTCGTGTATGTTATTCACTCTCATCAGCTGAGGAGGTAGATAATCTTTGTTCGTGTATATTATTCACTCTCATCAGCTGAGGAGGTAGATGTTCGTTGTTCGTGTATGTTATTCACTTTCATCAGCTGGGGAGGTAGATGCTCTTTGTTCGTGTATGTAATTCACTCTCATCAGCTGAGGAGGTAGATGCTCTTTGTTCGTGTATGTAATTCACTCTCGTCAGCTGAGGAGGTAGATGTTCTTTGTTCGTGTATGTTATTCACTCTCATCAGCAGAGGAGGTAGATATTCTTTGTCCGTGTATGTAATTCACTCTCATCAGCTGAGGAGGTAGATGTTTTTTGTTCGTGTATGTTATTCACTCTCATCAGCTGAGTCGGGTTTTTTGTTTTTGAGTTCGCCGAATTACATATCCTAGTCACATGCGTGTCGTAGCATCTTGTGATATGAGACGTACTACTGTTTAATGGTGAAGTGAAGGATATGATTTGTACCTTTGTGCGATGAGGTTTCGTTTTCTGCTGCGGTAAGTTCTTCATGCCCTGGGTCTGGATACTTCTTCTTTGTTTGCGTTAGAGTGCGTCAAATCCCGGATCACTACACGTGTACCATTTGGATGAGAGTTCACTGCTACGGTTTCCTAGTCTATATGATACTGGTTGCAATGCTAAATGTTGGCTCTGAGGATCATAGTGTCGTCTACAGTGTATACAACTGCACAGTCTATCGGTTTCAGTCATCCCCGAAGTTCATTGGTTTTGATTATACTTCGCATCAGCCATCGCCACCTATAGTTGTGCTCACATTCCAATCGTCCATGTCAGTTTGATATTAGTGTTAAGGAGATCAAAAATCAGCTGAACACGATGTCTGAACCAGAAGGAGATTCTGCCCAAGTCCTTGTCAAACGAGAGAGCAGGAGCAAAGAGATACAGAAAGTCAGGTGAGACTTTTTATATACATCGACAAAACCTCGATATGTGCGCTATGTATGATATACGCATATGCATACGCAAACATCGGTAGGTGTTTTAAAGTGTTCGTTTCCGATAACGATATAAGGCGAATATGAATCCACAAGTATCGCTGGCGAGGGTGCAGAATACTTCTCAGGCTCAATATATTTTGTGTCGTGACGAATCGCTGCGAAGAGGGATTCAGATCAGCTATTTCAACAGGATGGAGCCCTCGTTCAGATTTATTTTTTAATTTTTTAGACAGCGAATCTTCATCAATCAGAAACTATATATGCCAACAACGCAGCTCAGATGCAAACACTGCCAAATAGATTATGCTGCGTTTCGTTGCGAAGCTGCCCAGAATTTCCGATACAACCCCTGTCTAACGAACTCACCACGTATACTACAATGCTGTACGTACTGGTGTAGTTAGCCTTTGGTATATCTCCTCATTGTTGTCGTGAATAAGGGGCTCTACCCTGAGATTTGGTCTGTGCCACTATGATCCTTAATGTCCTGCATCCATTCAACTCAGATTCACAACAAAAGAGCTGTGCCACTTATGCCGGAACGGACTCAGTGACGAGGACGGCGCGAAAATGGCAGACGGTAATACGCCAAAGTACTTCCCAACAATCGTGGTCAATCTGAAAGATGCGACCTTTGCGGAGACTGACAATGATGTAGGTGTCGATGACGATGACAAAGACGCCGAAGCACAGTACACGCTGCCCCCGATTGAGCTGTGCGACCAAAGTATGCTGTCCGGCAATCGTTTTCGAGTTTAGTTGCAACACGTGACACCGATGGTATTGTCCTGTCATCTTGTAGGTAGACATAGTGGCTAGTGCCTAGTGCGACATCCTTAAGCTTAGGAAGTATACCTTGGTGTTTTTGTGTCAGGTGCTGTGTGCGCTGAGTTTCGAAGCAATACATGGGTGATGTGTGATGTGAGAGCTTGGATGTACAGACTGATGGATACATCAAGGGCTATGTCTAATCAGCCTAGCAGCATACACCAAATGTTCTGTGTGGGACCCGAACCATTATATTGTATAGGGTTTTGAAGTGTAACTGTTCGCTTTCTAGGTCCGCACACCCAATCCCAAGTAGAAAGCGACCGATACCCTATACGGCGGTAGACGTCGATGTCTGATTGGATAGTGTGAAGATTCTGTAGTGTGTATGTTAAGTATTTCTGTCTCAAATGCAGATGTGGCATACACCACGATGACGGAACTGGTTGCCCAGTATTAGACTGTATTTATGAAATGGATTCCTGATGTTTTTATCGAAAAGCCATTCATTTGTTGCGTTAGCGGTAGTGGAGGGTATTTGTCAGTTTTTGTATACAATATGTATATGCACGTTGATATGATAGTATATAATACATATATAAATATGTAGGTACTTTGGAGGACGGCAATCTTTCTTTTCTGTGCGAAATGGGTACACACCGCACATGCTGGCCGAGAAGGAACAAAAGGAACTTTGTGGATAACAGCGGCACGCCGCGTATCAGTAAATTCTGTCAGCTGCATGCAAAAAATATAGAAACGCAAGTGAAATTACACCAGCGCTACGATGACGCTGGAGTACCGTTACCTCCGAAAAAGGTATAGATATATCTGGGTATTTGGGATCAATTCGTGTGTGTGTGTGTGTGTTCAAGGCTGGGCAAGGGGATATGGGCATCGTATATGCGCACTACCGATAGTGTCAATTCTTTAGATATACCTCCTAGCTAAAGATATGGGCATCGCATATGCGCACTACCGATAGTGTCAATTCTTTAGATATACCTCCTAGCTAGAGATATGGGCATCGTATATGCGCACTACCTATAGTGTCAATTCTTTAGATATACCTCCTAGCTAGAGATATGGGCATCGTATATGCGCACTACCTATAGTGTCAATTCTTTAAATATACCTCCTAGCTAGAGATGTGGGCATCGTACATGTGCACTACCGATAGTGTCAATTCACTCTCATGTTTTTTCTTTGGAGAATAGGCCACGCTGGCGTATTAACTATTTATACCCAAGTTTAACCTGTGTGTATTTTATTGACATACGTTCCAACATCTGCATAGAAATCGAAGAAATCGTCCTCAAAGAGCTCGAGCAAACGAAAGAAATTTGATTACACTGATGATAGTGATATACCACCTCTGAAAACCTCACGTGGCAGTGACCCGAATGAGAACAGCCCATCAGGTAAGCCTGCTAATCCCTTCTATGTGTTGTCGTATGGCTCGGGTGTGGGGCATTTTGTATCCGAGCTGTGTAGGGGCCGCTGATATAATATCGACTCCTCGTCACCGGCTGTTGGGTGATTGTCCCCTTGCCGGCAGCACCGGTGCGTGTGTGTATACGAGTGTGAACACGTGAGTGACAGTTGTCTTGTATCGCATTCCCTGCTATTACGCCTGGCTTTGCTTGTCACCGTGTTTCGACAGTCCGTCAGAATGGCTAGCTCCACCGAAGTGATATTAGAAGTGATATTAGATAGGGAAGTGTACGGGAAAAATACGTCTTGCTCATTGAGAATGTGCAGATTTGTATCGTATTGACATTCCGCTTGATGGTGCTGAGAGCCGCACATGTATCTATTTATCTCGTCACGCATACGGCTGCTGAAAACCACACACAGTCATGGACTAGTCGCATCTTCTCTCGTATCATTTACACAGTGAACCCCACCCACCAATGTACACACGCCCTTAACGCCTACCAGAAAACGCCTCCATCCCGAACGGAAGCTCAGCTATGCCCAGGAAACCTGCCGATACCGCACAAATAGACACCAACGACACCCGACCATCACAGGAGTTCGATGAGTTTGATCGGCATGATTCTGATTCGTCCGATTCCATGCCGGTGCCTGAACCCATCATGGTAAGCGATGATAGTGATGACGAGGACTTTGGCGAGGTATTGCCTGACCCCATCATGGTAAGCGATGATAGTGATGACGAGGACTTTGGCGAGGTACCGCCTGACCCCATCCCGGCCGACGAAGCCCTAGGTAGGTCAAATAGAACCATTCAGACTGTGCGAAGGTTCGTGGCTGTTGCTTTGCAGGAAGTGTATACTAAATGTGGTTATCTGTAAACGACGCCATTGGGCATATCTTTACTTGCCAGAGCGCTCAAGAAACGTATGGTGTATGTGCATATTTGTTGTTTCCGTGTTTCTGACCCATTTAACATGCTACTGGGGGCGAGTCAGCGATCAACTGTGGCCCCACACGGACTATCAGTTGTTGTTTTTTTCTCGTTGAATTGTAAATAATAATCAGTTATCACTTGGTTTTATAGAAATTAATCGCACAACGGTTGGGACATACGAATAGTGCTCTCTCATCAATTGGGCACATAGGTAGTAAGCGGTCATCAATCAAATACGCATACAAGTATTTTTAAGCGTGGTTCACCTCCCCTAGTGTTGGCTGTCTTCTTATATAAAGCCTGTACTGGTCCTACAGCTTACAACTCAAGATCGTGATCATATTGGCCACCTTTACCTTGCTGTTTGCTCTATAGCTTCGGTGACAGTACGTGCACTAGTAAACACTGTCTTACTATTATTATTACTTTGCCAACCCTCGTGATTGCAAGCAGGACAAGTGTCTGATAATGAGCCTGAGCCAGACCTGGATGTTATCGACGGTATCGTCGATGACGAAGACGGACTCCCAACCTTGGAAACCTTGGAAACCATTGAGACAGAGTTCAAATCACGCCACCAGGGCACAGACTCCCAAGCGGCAGGTGGTGCCAAGACATCAAGTACTGAGACCAACGGTACAGATCACCTGAACGGCAAGGCTAAAGAGGATACTAATGAACCTAAACCACACCACAAACCCTCTGGCGACACTGTGGGGGACGGCCAGAGAGGTGGCGATGATGATATGAAGGGCCGTACACACGAAGTGGACAACAAGTACGATGACAACGGTGCATCGGATAATGGATACGCAGACTCGACTGCCACCTTACATGACGGGGGAATGCGGAGCCCTGCGCACAGGTAGGTGTGAATGCAAATACGTACATAAATACATACATGCATACATATATACATGCATTCATACATGCTTACATACACACATTCATACATGCATACATACATACATACATACATTCATACATGCATACATGCATACATACATACTTGCATACATTCATACATACATACATTCATACATGCATACATACATTCATTCATACATGCATACATACATACATTCATTCATACATACATACATATATCAAGGGATGCGCCTCTGTCTGATAGTGAACCGTGGGAGGTCTGGTTTGTGGTGGGTGTGATTGGGATGATACGCTTCGTGCTGAGTGTTGTGTCAATGTAGGTGCAGTGTTACCGTGAGAGCGGTTGCTCCTTCTCGCCGATGCCTTGAATGAGATGCGGATCTGCTCTCGAGTTTGACACTCTCCTACGTGTATGTCACTCACTCATTGTGTGGGTTTACTACACCACTGTCTCTCCTACGTGTTTGTCACTCTCTCATTGTGTGGGTTTATTACACCACTGTCTCTCTTACTTGTATGTCACTCTTTCATTGTGTGGGCTTCTCGGTGATAGTAGTCATGCTACTACGCGTGATATACTATGCAACTCGATTGTCACATGTGTCGGGAGTATTCTATATCTTTTCCCGATAATAATTTACCTACAGGCGCATGTTCCTCGAAGAGGTGCAGATGCGAGTGAGCCAAGACTTTGCCGCGGAGAGTGCGGCCGTCATAGACCACGTGTTCGAAGCGGTCGAGAAGCAGGACGATGATGAACCCAGGGACCTGGACGGCTTCAAACGGGACAGTCTGCAGAAACTAGACGAGGAGATCAACGCCGACCCAAACAATGCGCTGAAGATAGTACAACGCAAGAACGCTACTTTAAAACACCACATCGAGATACTGAGGTGAGAGGAGAGGGGTGGGCCCTGGCGTGTGGCCAAAGTAGTGTGGTTGTTGGTTGTACGTATTGTTCACTGAATGGCTTACTTTAGTATTTGGTTTCGAGTGTGTGGGTGTATTCAGCGCGTTTCAGTCTATGCACGTGCATTATAAGTATACATCGTATGGTTGTGCACACACAGCTGTCCCTGGTTTATCCATATTCATTTGCATCTAGAGGCCTGTTGATGTATTTCTGACATTTGAAACGCCTCGAACACATTGATCTCACTTGCCCACACACTATCTTGTTACCGAATATTCGCAACGCGAGACTGTGTTCTAAAGAACATTCCTTGTATACATTGCAATACTTTAATTTCAAAATACATCATGGTTGTATGTGGCACAATGTTTTATTCTGTATTATATTAGTTGCATACTTAACATCATTCAGTAGTGCAGCCCCTGTTGTCACGCTTCCCATATCTTAAGCCTTCGATGCAAAAATTTATTTAGACAGACAGAAGGCCAATTCAGTCACGTACATAGCACTTAACATATGCAGTATATCATACTTATCTGTAGTGTCTTGGCCTCTTTCTCCTTGTGTGGGAAAGGATTATTGAACCGAATAGATGCTACTTCACACTGACAACATGGCATGATACTTTATACGGCCTCTTCCTAGTCTCACCTTTTTGTAATTCACAATTACACGGAAAAACGTATCGCTCAGAACGATACGTTGTGACATTCAATTGCAACATAACATTCTAATCCGTGGCATTTGGGCTGACACTGTTTTTCGGATATGTTCATTGCGGCACGGAGAAACGGGTTGCTTTAGCCTGTACATTGAGGTGAACATATGTAACAGACTATTCTAACATGTAGCTTCTTGGTAAAGCCAGTACATTGAGGTGAACATATGTAACAGACTATTCTAACATGTAGCTTCTTGGTAAAGTCAGTACATTGAGGTCAACATATGTAACAGACTATTCTAACATGTAGCTTCTGGGTAAACCCAGTACATTGAGGTCAACATATGTAACAGACTATTCTTACATGTAGCTACTTGGTAAAGCCAGTACATTGAGGTGAACATATGTAACAGACTGTTCTAACATGTAGCTACTTGGTCTCCCACTCTTTTCAGGTGTATCCACTATTACACGGAGAAACGGGCGAGGAACATGAACCGACAGGCTAGCGAAGCTCGTCTGGTGTTCATGGAGAAGTCAATCGATTCAAATCTGCGCTGATATGCATGGAGAAGACACTGTTGAAGTCCAAGCTTTGGCTTCCTTAGAAATGGCACATATGAATAAATCATATTATAAATACATGTCTCGAAATATCAGATGAGGGCGAAACTTGTCTCTAAAAGACCAGTTTTCATACCTAGTAACTAAGTTGCAGTAGCCTTTTTAGCACACATGCGTATAGCCTTGGTACACATGTTATCGTACGCTATTCTAGCCCTATATAGTCGACTCAGTAGTACTGCAATTGTTTCCGGACTGATTCTGCCGGTGATTAAAAATAATAGCTTCATTTAGACCGTTGGTATTCTCACATACTTGCATGAAACCTCATACCTAGAAAGACACTGTTCTATTGTACAGATTTTGGATTCGAATCACAGCCTTAACTTCCTATGACAACAACAGACGCAGTCTGTACAAGTGGGTCTGCTGCTGTGCGTCATACTTTTGTGCATGTAAGCTAATGTCACACATGTAAGCTAATGTCACACATGTCAGCTATATATATATATATATATATATATATATATATATATATATATATATATATATATATATACTACTACTACTACTACTACTACGTATAGTAGTAGTAGTAGTA